TTTGGACCTATTTTATTTAAACCAATCAGAGGCAAGTTTTGGACAAGTCAGGCCTTCAGCGACAATGATGCATTCACAGGCATTGTACCATTTCTGCTATGCCTTAAATAAAAACACTGATTCTTTTCAGCAACCTGTACTTTCATTATTACACTCATTAATAAATCAAAAGTGTCCAACTAATATATAAGTAACATTTACTGAGGAACCAGCTACTTTTTTCTTGTCGAAAAAAGAAAACATTTACTGGAAATATGAACCACACCGCGTGAAAAATAAATCAGTGGATAATGCACAGTAACCACTCACTACTTCTCCATCTTCTAGGAAAGCAAAGTTGGTGGCAGGGAAACAGAAGGAGGAGCCAGTCTCTGTATGAGAGTGAAAATGAGAGACCAAGTAAACTGGCCACAGAGCACGAACTCCAACCAGACTGTAAGGGCATCTCCAGACTAGATGTTTGTGCACCAAATCCTGGCCCTTTAAAACTCCTTAAGCCTTCTTGAATGCGATGGGCTTTCCCCAACCTAGTCATTTCTGTCTTAATTGTGTGAGCACAGCCTATAACTAGTAACAGTGAATGAAATCTGCCAGTATCACCCAACACAGTTGTAGCCAAGAGCTTCAGCCTTTTCTTTGACCTAAGCATAAATGGTTCAGGTTCTGGGACAGATCTGGGTGTATTCTTCCCTTCTTTGTCAGAAACATCAAAAAAAAAAAAGACATCTAGAGCAGCAATTCCCAGACATTTCTCCCCACCACAAAACACAGGAGTATGGATGATTCCTTTGAGAACATAGTTCAAATGAGTGAGAGTGGCATTATGGGAAGTACAGTCTGAATTTAAAAAAAACCAAACCCTACCAAAATTTGAAGATGATTGATTTAAACTATTATAAATGATTAATTATTCATGACACCCCTTATAGCGACCACAACAATGCAAAACATAGATGGTGAAAGGAAATGCCTACTATAAAACTCTTTAAGGAAAACATAGGCAGAACACACTTTGACATAAATCACAGCAATATCTTTTCAGATTCACCTCCTAGAGTAATGAAAATAAAAACAAAGATAAACAAATGGAACCTAATTAAACTTAAAAGCTTTTGTACAGCAAAAGAAACCATAAAACAGAAAAGACAACCCACAGAATGGGAGAAAATATTTGCAAATGAAGTGATTGACAAGGGATTAATGTCCAAAATATACAAATAGCTCATGCAGCTCTACATGAAAATAATAACTCAATAAAAAAAGTGCATAAGATCTAAATAGACATTTCTCCAAAGAAGACATAAAGATGGCCAAAAGGCAAATGAAAAGATACTCAACACCACTCATTATTAGAGAAATGCAAATCAAAACTACAGTGAGGTATCACTTCATACCAGTCAGAATGCCATCATCAAAAAAGTCTACAAACGGCAAATACTGGAGAGAGTCAGGAGAAAAGGGAACTCTCCCACCTGTTGGTGGAAATGTAAACTGGTGCAGCCACTGCAGACAATGGTATGGAGGTTCCTTTAAAAACTAATAACTACCATATGATCCAGTAATCCCGCTCCTGGGCATGTATCTGGAGAAAGCCATGATTTGAAAAGATACATGCACCCCCAATGTTCATTGCAGCACTGTTACAATAGTGAAGACCTGGAAGCTACCTAAATGTCCATCCACAGAGGAATGGATAAAGAAAACGTGGTACATACATGCAATGGGATATTACTCAGCCATAGAAAGACTGAAATAATACCATTTGCAGCAACATGAATGGACCTAGAGATTACACCACACTAAGTGAATCAGAAAAAGGCATATCACTTATGAATAGAATTTTTAAAAAATTATATGAATGAACTTACTTACAAAACAGACACAGATTTAAAAACAAACTTACGGTTTCAAAGGGAACTGTGGGAGAAGGGATAAATTAGGAGTATGGGATTAAATTATACATACTACTATATATAAAATAGATAATCAAATGGACCTACTGTATGGCATAAGGAACTCTACTCAATATACTGTAGTAACTTATATGGAAAAAAAATCTGAAAAAGAATGGACATATGTATATGTTTAACTGAACCACTTAGCTGTACACCAGGAACTAACAACTTTGTAAGTCAACCATACTCCAATATAAAATAAAAATTAAAGAAAAGAAAATGCCAGGAACCGGGATGATGACCTTGCTAATCACCTTGCCAACAGCTGTGCTCGAACCTGGGTTTCAGGTTCTGCACAGCAATTTCTATGTTGGGGTGCCATGTGCCACCCCCACCCACATAGTTGACTGCTGTCTCTCAGCTCCAAACCCACTCTTCTGCGCTCTGCTTGGTGACATTGAGATTGGGACAACACAAATTCCAAGTCTCTTTTGTCAGCCATCTTCCTATTGGGGTTCTGCAAATGGCCCTAGCAGGCCAGGGCAAGGGAGAAGGGACTGCCTCCCATTTTGCTTGCCCTTCCTTTCAGTGCCAAGCCAGCAGTAACTTAATCGCAGCTGCCGGTTCCAGCCTCTCGCTTCTTTCAACTATCCCTGAACAGTGCCCTCTGAGACGGTCTGGCACCAGCCACCCGCATCCAGCTCCACAGTGCCCCCCTTGAGTTCCTGAAGCACCAGCACTCACTGGGTGCCTCTACCTGTGAGGGATCTGAACCCCTGTGGTTCCCGTTGGAACCACTGTCCCAACTTCTAGGTGGTGATAGCGTCAGCTCCTCATTCTCTCAATCCTAGGAAACCTATGGTTAGTGCCTCTGTGTGAGTGCTTCACACCAACACTTGTTTAGGCAATTCCCTATAGTAAGTTCTCTTTGTTATTTTCCTTCCTGGATCCTGACTGATGCAATGACCAAAGAAAATTCTAGATTTGGAAGAGTGACTGACATAGCTTTTCAAAAAATTTATTCCAGTGGGAGACCAAAGCTTTATGAATTCTGCTCCCAAGAATGAGAGAAGAAAAATCTCTAAAAATCTTTAATAATGCTTTTTAGTTGCTGAAGTTGGAGATACTTCTATTAGAATTTTCCATTTTGACTGACTGCAGGCATGTGGGATTCTGCTACTCCAGGAAGAGGTAAATCATAAAACAAAGTACACAACCTTCAAAAGAACGTATCTTGGCATTTAAGATTGAAGCTATTTTTATACACACAACTGCTTGAGTAAATTAAACACACAACCATACACATGTACCTGCTGCTATTAAATCCAAGCCTTTTTCTATCCCAAACCTTATCTGTTTTTTGACCATGTGACACTTTGTGATACATTTGATTACTTTTTTACTCCAATGAGGTGAGCTAGCTCACAGCTGAGATAACACTTCTTTCTCAAATTTTAATCACCATCTGATTCTTTAAGTATGATGGGTCACATGTTGGGGACATTTGCACATGAAGCTAAGGGAGGTTCACTATCATAATAAAAACTGTTTGAAAATAGAGACAGTGTTTCTAATGAAAACATTTTGATTAAAGCTTTGACTCATAATCCAAACAAGAGGACTCTGATATTTCAGATGCTACTTACAGAACACTCACCCCAGATGCCAGTGCCTTTTTGTACTAGAACTTCAGTGTTGTACCTGCTACCAACAGTGAGAGTATGGTCTTTTGTATTAAATACTGAGAGAAATACACTCACTTAAAAAAAAAATTCAATGCAGTATACTGCCACAATGCCATGAAGAATAGTAATTTGAATTTCCATTATCAATTTTTAAAAAAATCTTTCTGGATTATAACACTGTCAAATAAAGCAGTTTCTTGGGAATACTTTGTGAGGCTTTTTCATAGGGTTCTAAACCCAACTTAATTTACTATGATTATACCTATAAAAAGTAAGTTTCACTGAATGGCCATATGTAAAGGGACTCTGTAAAGTACAGTGCAGATAAAAATATAATTGGACTCAAAATACAACCAAGAGTTTGTGTGTGAGGTGACATTATCTGAAGATGCATTTGTGTAATCCAAAGATGGGTATTAAGCATGTGGGTTGAAGCTGGGATGGCAACTGATGATGTGAAGAGCAACCATCAATTTAGTACTTGCTTTGTACTTTTCAAAGGAGCACGCTATATGGCCCATTTGCTCAGCTGACTATGTCTTAACTTCATCCCATCCATGGCCATTATGAAAAACACACACAGACACCTCTACTTGGATCTCACAAGCTCTGAATGTGAAACCAAGAAGCTGAGTTTGTCCGGACTCCTGCAGGGATATGCCAGCGATAAGGAAGTTGGTATGACCTAAACAAGTATGGATTGAAAACACAGACCAATGATAACAAATGATTTATCCTAACTGGTCTTCAGTTTTGTGGGGCACACAGTCCTAATGCAAAGGGGAAAATTCCCATGGATACAACCCTCATAGTACGCTAATTTGGCATTGTTTCTTATTTGCATTATCATCATCACCTTTCTGAAAGAAGCTGAAATTATTAGAAAACCAAACTACACAGAGCTTGGCAAGAAAGGATTTCCTGGGTCAAAAGCACAGAAGAAAAACACCAAGGTGGGGAAAAAAGACAACAGATCTTATCTAGGACCGAGTTTCTTATTAAAGAAATACTTACTGTTCAGTATTAGTACTTTCAACATTAATACATTTCTATGCTAATACAGTTACATGGCAACCCCACAGTAATACCGCAGACCTGTTTTCCAGAAGCTGAAAGTTCTCATAGTGAATGAACCTACGGAGTACATAGTACATACTGAATAATCCATGCTTGTGGTGGGGGTGGGGGAAGTATCAGTATTGTCAGACAGGGTTATAGGATAAAACCGAACTAGAAGACATCTAATTCTATTAGCTCCTGTAACCAGAGAAAGCCAGGTCCCCTAAAAATCACAAGGCACTATGCAATGTAAAATGCCAGGGATATTTCCTGTTTCCTCAAAGGTCTTATGCTTGACCAGTTAACTTTGAATTAACACACTTTGCATTAAGCTACGACTTTCCAGGAAAGGGTGTCTTACCTTTCATAATGCCTGCGGGTACAAGTGGCAGCGCTGGTGCTCCCAGGATTACCACCTAACTCATCATAAATATGTTTCCACTGACGGCGGGCTGTTATCTGAAAAAGTGGCAATGAGAAATTCAATCTTGCATCATAAGAGATTCGCAGTGCCAGGATTCAATACATAAGCAACAGTCAGAAGAGAACAACAGTCTGTCCTGGAAACCCAGAAACAGAGAAGTCCAAATGGGTCTATGGGGAGACTCAGGGGCTTCCAGTAAGATCTCACTTTTAGCACTCTTCTTCACAATAAAAATGGGATTCTGCTTTGGGCTCTGTATTTTGTCACCCTTACAGCATTTTTATCAAAGATATCTCCCTGGATATTCATGTAGCTATTTGCCCCCAAGGTACCAAATGCATACTCTGTTCCTTTATGTAATGTGATTAAAGCATCAAAATATAGATTCCAGCTAAAATATGTCTTAGTATATCCATTTAAATGAATCAGAATTAACACTGGTTACTTGAGGGATATGGTAATGGGTGGCTGAGTACACAGGCAAACACAGAATTTCCATAAAACATACTTCTGTATCTTCTGAGTTTTGAACTATTGTGATGTGTTGCCTACTTAAATTACTATACAAATTAATTAAAATGATCAAGTTGGTTATGAAATTTCTAGTCCTCTCAGGCTATATTTTCATGCCAGCTGTGCTAACCACCAGGACAAAACCAAAATGTTAAACTGTCTTAAGTCACAAGCTGTTTATTTTTCTTCACTCAGGTCAGGAAAATGGGATATTGATGAAACCATATGAAAATTAACATATTCCAAAGTTAAAATGTAGGGTCTGTATTTCACTGAGTTGGGTGAATAAAAACAAACAGCTTGTAATATACTGAAAGGCATACTATGGTCTTGTTTTTCTTTAATTTTATTTCTATATATAAATTAAGATTTTAACAAAATAACAGATGTATGATCTGGCAAATGATTACTTTGGGGAAACCACGTCATCTACTACATATGAGCAATCCCATGTTTCCTTGAAACTGGAGGGATAGAGCAAGTTCTGAGATCCTTGTGAACATTTCCAAACAGGGTTCCGAGAAAACTCTTGTTATTGGAATGTGTAGGGAGCTGGGCGTGGCAGAGGTGAAGGTGGAATTTAAACAATCAGAACAGGAGGCATCTTTTGAAAAACACCCGCAGAGCTGACCGCGGAGTTCACTTAGGGCTAGAGGCGTGAAAAAAAAAAAAAAAAAAAACCTCAGTGTGTAACCAGGGGCTCCATAATTGTGAACTAAGGAGGAAAAGGGTGGTTAAATATTATAGGTTAAGTGGTACCCATTTCAAATAAAAAGAACCCCTTCATTTCCATAAGCCCTTCTTAACAGGCCCAAGTAGGACCTCGAGACAATGTGAGTCGTGCATTGTTCACTTTCCCATGAAGCATTCTTAAATCAATTTGTTTCAATAGTTCTCATTAGACTGAACCACCTCTTACATCTACTGGCAGGTATAAGTAAAAATCCTGTATTTCCAGCTTGGTTTAGATTATAATAATAAATGTTTTCAAGGCCCTTTCAAAATACTCAAAATACATATTTTGGTAATTATTTTATATTTAATTACAGTCTCCCTCCAACCTTTTAAATAATACAGTTTCAGGTTGGTCTATTCTAGACTGGTGTACAGAAGAAACAGGATACCCTTCTTCCAAGTATCTACATGATTCCTCAACACTCTTAGAACACAGACGCCCTTGAAACAAATCTCCATATTTCCCTCCCTCAGATGAGGTGTCAGCTCTGGGGAGCCCCACAAGGCTAGAAAACAAGACTATCTGTGTTCCTGTAGTCACTTTAGAAGAAATCATTGCTTTTGTCATTCTTGTATCTCTGGTGTGCACTGTATTTTCTATTTTGTAAAGAGTTTTCATATCCACGATGTCATTTAATCTACCTATCAGCCTGTGAGGCAGCCTATAGGAATCTCATTCACAGACAAAGGAAACAAGTCTCAGAGAGGTTGCATAATTTGCCTAAGGACACACAGCAGCAGATTGGGAATGCCAGACTCATACTGACGTCTTTCGGTCCCAAGACCAGACTTTTTTTCCACTACATCAAAGCAGCCTCCATATCAGAATGACCTGGTGAATGGTGTAGCACAGTGATAATACAGGACTCCAGGGACCTTTTGCTTCAAAGGAGAGAGATAACTGTGGGCTCCATTGCTTTTGCTACAAATTCTGAAACTCTCACTAGTGGGAAAATAGCACAGCTAGGAGGTCAGCAAGAATCTAAGGGAGGGGGTTGGGTTAATAGCTCTCTGAGATGTTACTCTCTTAAAGTATGTTAGAACTGTGGTTGCTGCCACCCTGCCCACTTGTGCCTCTATGAACAGAGATTCACCATTAAATCATAGATAGGTCCCAATTTTATCAGAATCTGTCTATTCACCCATGCATTAACTCACCAAACATTTATCGAACATCTCCCATTTGTTGGGTACTGTGCCAGCAGCTGGGTGGCCACAGTGCAAACCCAACACCTGAGATGCCTGCATCTTAGTGGCAGATTCCAAACATCAACACACGACCAAATATATAAACAAAGGAATACTGATTGTGAAAAATATAGTGAACAAGAAACCACTGCTGACAGGGATATGTAATGTGTGGAAAATGGCCATGCTCCCCACCCACAATCTATCATCCAAACTGAGGTATGCCCTGTTAAACACTTGCCTATCATAGAAATGACAAAACTTCTTTGAGAATAAATAATGAATTATCAAAAGGAACAAAAACAAAGTCTTCCTCACAGTAGGACTGAAACTGTGGCAGCAGGAAGCCAGCATCAGCCACCATTTGGCAATAATAAGCCCTGTGCAGCTGCCTAGAGGTCTGTGTTAGCCCCCGACTAGCAGATTCTGCTGTTTAAATACAGTTTTTTTTTTTTTTTAACCAGTGGAGAAAAGACAAGGGCCAGGCCTTCAAGGAACTGGGCTCTCTGTTTACTGAGGTTCCACTGGCCAGGCTAGATGAATCAGGCCATTTTGAGATATTTTCTTTCCACAGGAAAGTCATAAAATGTGCTCTTTCCAACTGCTAAAAGCTTTTAAGTACATAGGTCTCCTGGGTATACATCTCCTTTTTTTTTTTTGTGCCCAGATGCACTTTTAATTCAAATACTGAACATAGGCTCTACAGCATGAAATGTCTCAATCCTCACCTTGTCCAAACCTACAGGGGGTCACAGAGCCCTATGAGGAGGGAGGGGAGGACAGAGCCCTCCGTCCAGGACAGCCCTGGGCGCCGTGCTCCCACCTGTGTGCGTCTGCCTTCTGCTCTAATACGTGCTTTCGTTGTGCCTAGGTGTGCATTTGCTCAGGGTTCTTATTCTGTTGTCCTCCCTACATGTGTGTAAGCTTTAAACCCATCTAGGGTAGGAGCAGCATCTGCCTCCTGGTATCTGGCCCCCAGCCCCATTTGACTGGAAAGTTTGATCTAGCTGCAGAGTCAGTTTGATCAACTGTCTCACAAAGCCTCAGGCTTCCCGGTCATGTTCATGTTTCAACCTGACCCATTATTTTAGGTTTTGAAGGATGCAAAGGACTCCGGCTCTCTACTTCCTAAAGAAAAACACCATCCACGCAGTGACTTCCCTTCCACTGTACTTCCCCTGTCCCCCCCTCAAGGGCCTCACGTAGACAGGAGGGATTCCTGACAGCGTGTCTTCTGCTGCTACTGTTCTAGGGCCTGTACTAGGTACAGAGGCTTGGAGGCGGAAGGAGAGGCTGGATGGTTGAGGGTGGGAAACAGCATAAAAAGAAAGAAAGGTTACGGCTTTAAAGGGTTCACAGTCTTGCAGGAATCATAATCCCATATGATTTAACCATAAAGCAAGATGAAAAACCAAGCAGACTACACCCAAGAAAGTTAGTCTACGTACATATGAAGACACTTTGAAGACACTTGATGGTTACTTCCCTCCTTAGTGTGGATAAGACCCAAGAAACTGTGAAAAGCACTCTACACCTGTCATGTTCACAAAGTTTTCATTCCTTATAAATAGCCACCCCTCTGTTTCCAAGGACCGCCCCACCCCCCCCCGGTGGATACCAAAATTCATGAATGCTCAAGTCTCATATAAAATTTGCATATAACCTATGTACATCCTTCTATGTACTTTAAATCATCTCTAGATTAGCTATAACACAAAATACCATGTAAATGCTGTATAAATAGTTGCCAGTGCTTGACAAATTCAAGTTTTGCTTTTTATAACTTTCTGGGATTAATTTTTTTTTTTCTGATCAAAGATTGGTTGAATTTTCAGATGAGGAACCCACAGATACAGAGGGCAGACTGGAAAGTGGTTTTTAAACTCTCTTTAGAATTCAGGTGGTGTTTCAAAAATGGCCTGAAACTAACTCTCAACAATGCCAGTCCTTGAGAGGAAAATGGACCCAGTGAGTAGGAAAGGACTCTATCCTTCCTCTAATTTTATTTGATGAAAATGTTCTGTCACTTAAAAAACTGGAAAAATATTTTAACCCAAAACAGTCTTGGAGCCTTGATTTTCCTACTGTTAGAGTCACTAGGATGAAATAATTTTGGTATTTTGTGGCCTGGTGAGGAAACAGTCATCGGAAATCTTTTAGGACAACAGTGTTTCCACTACTGCATGACTTGTATGAGTGTGCAGGATATGTTTAGGAAGTCAAAAGGAGAGTTTGCCTGTGAGCAGTGTTGCCCGGGCTGTTGTAAGAAACAGTCTTTTTTCTCAGGACACCTTGAGGGCGGACTGAATTCAAGGAAGATGACTTTTTTTTCCTGGTAGTACTCCAGGAACTGGAACCTTTCAAAGCTACATGACATCATCTTTGGCCTCGAGAATTTTGAATTAAGCAAGAGGCTTTGTCTGTCCAGAGAACTAGGGTTAGATTCAGAGGATGTCTTGAAATGATGTCAAAGCCAGAATCTGATGTCAAGGCCTAATCCTTCCAGCAAGAAGACAAGTGGCTTCTTCCAGTTGTGAAATAGTGGTCCTGTCTCACCCCTGGGGAGAGGCGGGACTGCGAGCTGGCATTCTTAGAAGGCAACACACTTGCTCTTGCGTGGTCCTCTGCCTCTAGGATAAGATTTACTCAACCCATTTCCCAACTCTACCTCTCTCCAAATATTGCCTCTGGCTTACCATCAAATGTTCAGCCAAATGGAAATCACTTTAGCAAACCACCGTCAACATGCTGCATCCTGGTAATACCCCAAGCTACCCTGCAAGCCTTAACTACTTCACCAGACACTGAAGTGAAGACCTTCTTAGCTCATCAGCAAAACTTTATTCAGTTCTGCCTCCTCCACTGTAGGTGACCCAGACTCTTAAATGTTTGGAAGGGGAAATCAGATATATGACTGTTAAAGAAGAGGTCTCATTGCCAACCAATCAAAATGCCAAGATGATGTTTTTTAGGAAATCAAATCCATTCAATAAGTTTATGATCTCTAAACCTAGGGATGCAGAGACACGATATATATTTCTAGCAAAAGCAGAAGAGGCCAAGAGAACAGAACACAGCTATTAGTTGAAAGCTATAAAGGCTTAAAATAGAACTTCTGCTCTTTGCTTTAAAAAAAAAATCAATTTGAGGGTTGTGAAGGACTACAATGAAATAATCCATAATCCACAATTCAAACCAGAAGGTTTGGAATAGTTTATAACCACAAACAAAAACAAGCCAATTAACATGGCCTCTTCTTATAACCAGAAGGAATTCCAGAGAGATCTCTTTATCCAATCACAAGTTAACAGCAGAAGAAATACATCTACAGATTTTAAACTTGAAAGTTTTTACTATTACTGAGTATTTACATTTTCCAGACTTCTTGACCTGTCTTCTAAGGTCACACATTTTTCTCAAGAATCAGAAAATCTCAACTAGTTAGTTGGTATATTAGGCAAGGTTCATGTTAAGTTCAAAGAAATGACTAAAAGGTAGAAATAACTGAAAGGTAGAAACGAATGAAGGTAGGTTATTAGATCTTTTCTTTCCCCAAAGCATCACCCCCAATACATAAAAATGTACATAAGAGACTGCTGAGAATGCAAGGCACAAAGAATTTATAAATCTCTTCCTCCTAGTGATGATGTTACAGAGGTTGAGATAATTGTGCATGAAATTCTCAGCAGTTCAGAATTTGAAGAATGCCAGGATGACCCCATTCAACTCATTTCATCTCCTTGTGCCTCAGTTTCCATATATGGAGCAGGGCAAGGATCTTTTTCTGCACAAAGGCCAATTCATGAAAAATAAAAATGTGAGGGGGCTACACTTTTCCTTATTCAAAATGAAAATAGCTCATCTAGTCCCAATTTAGATTGTCACTTTACCAAATGGAAAAATAATAGTTGGAAACTTTGTGCTGCTTTTGAGCCAAGGAATGTTAATATTCTGGCATGTTTATTGTGTTTATTTAGTAATAGCCTGAAGACAATCTTCCAATCTTTGATACTTAGATGGGGGCCACATTTTGAAGCTAGGAGTCCTGAAATTTAATAATAATCATTGTTACCATTAGCTTTGAATTAACAGAATCTGGGCAGTTGTTGTTTTTTTTTTTTTTTTTTTTTTTAAAGATTCTCAAATTCTCAGGCCCAGGCCCCACTCTAGAGTTAATATATGTGAGACCTAGAAAACTACTTACACTTTAAAATTCCCCATTGAAAATTTGAGCTGCAGTTCTTGAGTAGTCTCTGAGAACCACTGATCTAGAAGATTCCAAGATCTCTTTTGAGCTCTAAATGACAAGTCTACACTTGCTTCTGATATCAGATGATCTCATAGATAAGTATCCTCTAGTAAGGCTGTGATGACAACTTAAGTCCTCAGACTGTGGATATTATTAATATATCTCCTGGACTGACTTCAAAACTGAATCCTCACTGAACATCTCACAATTATATTAGTCAAAATATACTAAAGAAAAATGTTTTCTATACTTCAGAGGTTCAAAAGCTTAAAGGCAAAATCAGAGTGGCAAACTCAAGTGCCTGCAGGGCCAACAGGTAGTATGAGGCAGTTTTTAGAAAGGAAGGAAGGAAAAGAAGGAAAGAAGGAAGGGAAAAAAATCCCACTGGTTGGTTTTATTCAGTTTATGGCCTCAAATACAGATTTTATATTGAGATAGTCTCACAGATTCACTGCCTGAGATGAGATGGAAAAATGTGGCATATTGTGAAGAGTGCAGGGACCCAACAAAGGATGAAGGAGCTGAAGGGTGAAGTAGAGAGGGAAGGAGGAAAAGGACAGCCCCCACAGGTCACCAGTCCTCTTTGTGGCTTGGCTCAAGAGATGTGATGCACATAACCAGGTGGAAAGCAGATGCCAATCTGGTCTTCCATGTCTCCCAGCCCAGTCTCTCTCTCCACTCTGTCTAGCACAATACAGTGCAGGCAATATAGGTGGCAAAACATAACACTTAACTTGCTGTCAGTCTTCATGATCCCAACCCCTCACTGCCAGCATCCAAGGACCTCCTTCCCTAGGCTCCATCCTTCCCTCTGAATTCCCCTTCATGGTCATTTATCCCAACCACCTAGTGACTCTAAGTTATTCAAACTTGCTATACCAAACTTCATTCTACCTACATAGTTTGTTTCCCCATTTGATTGTCTCATTCTTAGAAGACCATAATCTTTCACATCTAAATTCCATCTGTTCTCCAATATTCTGCTCAAGGGGCCTCAGACCTGTAAGTCTTTCTTCCTCTAAATGAGGAAGTACTTTACCCAAACAGCGCAACTGATCTTCTCCCACCCTGTCTTACAACTGATGCCTTTCCTGGGTGGTAAGCAACTGGAACCCCTAGCCTAGGTATTTTTATGTCCCCCAGAGTGTCTAACACTACATATTATACTCAGTAAATATGTAGTCAGGTGATCTGCTGATTGTGTGATCATTCAATCATTCATTCAACAAAGGAATAATCACTGTTTGTTCAAAGAGCATTGCAAATGCCTTGAAAGTCATCAGAAGTTTCTTTTATATTTTCTACACCAGTCTGCTGTTGCTTGTTAAAAAAAAAATCCTGGTGCAAATACATAAGATACAAAAGCAGGAAAAACTGATTCAGTGAAATTTGCTGGCTCTCTCCCTATCAGTGAGTAACAAAAAAATTCCTGGGTTTGAAAAGACATTTCATAATGTTGTGCAATATCATGTAACTATCTGCAGTCAGAGTTCATAAGAATGTGTATTCCTATTCTGAACATTAAAGGTTAGACTTAAAAGTCTAGGCTATGGGATGGACTGCTAAATTTATGAGACTAACACTGAATAAGTTATCATCTTTTTCACATGCATGAAAGCTATAATTAGCTCAAGACTTTACAAAACTATGAGCCACAGTGGGAAGGAGCAAATCTCCCTGCCTTATCAACAGATCCAAGTGAGAAACTACATTATTTATTTTTCAGTAGGGCACTCAGTAAAACAGAAATTTTAAGCAAATTATGTCTATGAAATACATGTTTAAATATAGTTCACATAAGTATCTGATTTGCTTATAAAAATGTATTGCCTATATAATAAACATTTTACATGCATATAGACTCACAAAGAATTCTTAGAATACCAGGTTATTAATTACAAATTAACACCAGATTAATTAATACATTAATTAACACCAGATTATCTGACTCCCATATTGCTCACCATCTTTTCCCATCCCAAGCCCCTGACATCAAACCCTCATATTAGTTTGTGGAATAAAATCCTGTATCTGGCAAGAAACACTAGTTATTATTTTGGGTTAAAATGAGTTTCGTTTTCTTGACTTTCTGTCTCTGGCGTCTTACTTTGATACAGAGATATACCCCAGGTTACTCTGTAAGGAAAAAAAAAATGTCTTCAATTGTAGAAGAAACTGCACAACTCAATCTGATCACTATGTGGAGGAGAAAATCTTTCCAATGACGACATCTTCCTATGTCACTTGATTTTATTACAGATGTCATCTCTGTATGCTATATTAGTGCAGCTCTTTCTTCTTCTTTTCAAGATTCTAATCTGAGTCTGTTGCTCTAACATTTTATCGGTTCAAAATTCATGCTGTAAAAATCCGTGGCCATCAAATTTTCCTGTAAGCTAAAAATAACCCATTCCTGTCAGTTAGAATTAGCTGATAAAGAGTGTCAGAGCCTGTTCTGAGTAAGTTTGATAACTTCCTGTTTATGCAGCACTGACCCTTGTCTAATAAAGCTTCTCTGCTCTAGAATGAGAGGAGATTCTGCTGCATTCTATTCCTTAATGGCCAATACTGATTACTTTTGAAAGCCTTTAATACATTTCCCATATTAGACATGAACAGATGTCAGGTATGTTGCCAAGGGAAATTTCTTTTATGCAATCTTGGCTTGTTGTACAATAATAGCCCTTTCTCAACATGGGAAAAAATTACAGACCTAACTAATTTCCCTGACAGGGGAGAGTTACATATGTTTTCCACTTGTAGTTTTTACGACAAGTTTACAATTTTGCCAAACCTGGAACTAATTGGGACTGCTTCCAAAAGCGGCCCAATAAACCCCCAAAAGTGTATAGCCATTTGAAAAGGCAGTCAGTGACGGTTATGTTTGCATTTTCTCCATTTTGGTCAGAGCAGGGTGGGGGTAGGGGGAGTTAGATTGCAAAATTATTTCATTTAAGTTGCTTAAACACTTACTGTTTCATATCCTCCCAGTTTTTGAGCAGCTTGAAACATAGTCCAAAGGTTAACTGTTAGAGGGACAATAAGTATTTAGATAAGCATTGCATTAACATATTTCCAAGAAATGTCAATTAAAACATTTTGTTTTGTTTTTTCAATGAGAAAGAGAAATAAAAAGAAATATTAACGTAACCCAGAGAGTTAAGGTCTTAGGAAACAATTTACCAAAGGGTATTCAACAATAGGGTATATTAGTACCACTTAAAATATTTCTTAAGAAATAGTCACAAATCCGGAAACTGTTCTACTTTTAGGATAAAGGACAACACAATTTTTAGTCCTGTTGCCATCAGCAGACCAACGGAAGCTACATTACAGCCTCCTTGAGAAAAGCATGGGATTTCAAAACAGGGGTTGTCTTGTAGGACCCTTAGAAAGAAGCCATTGATTAAACAGTAATATGTAATGTCTCCTTCAGAGAAGAACTCTCCATAATCAATAAATACCAGCCACTTTAATATATGATTACCTTAACAGAATTTCTGATGGCAGCACTATATTACAAGCTCATAGCGTATTTCACTATCACATGGTGCTTTGCGCTGAGCAGGTAAATAAGTAAGTCACCCTTGAGGGTGCAGTGATACAACAAATCAAAGGAAAAGTTCCTTCCCAAAGGAACTGAGTCCTGTGCCCACCTAGTCCCCTAACTTACTTGTCTGTGTGATGGTGCAAATATGTATTTTTAAAAACAAATTTCTCTTCACAGGGCATGCATATGTTTATGCTGTTAATCATCTATGCCAAATTACTGGTAACCCTGTTCATTTGTACTAAATATCATGAAATGGGACTGCTGTGGATTTGATTCTTTCATAAGATGGGAAAATTGAACTTCAAGTAATTCTTTGGTAAAGGAAATGAAGAATAAAATTAAAACAAAACAAAACAAAAAACTGCTCTTTGACATAACACGTTCGAAAAGCCTCATTGAACCTTGCACTATTTCAAAGCTATCAAGAGGCCTGCCTCAGCCTTGATTTAATCTGAACCAATGCATAATGCAACAAAGCTGTTCATAGTACATTAATTTTACTTCTATTTCCAGCAGCCAGTTTTCAGACAAACACTGCAATCATTCGTAGTTACGTAAGTTTGTAATGGCTGCGCGTGCTCTCCCGCAATCAGTGCCAACTGCCATTAGGTATGTAAATTGTTATGTAAAACATACAGGTTTGACATTCTTCATCAGAATGACACATGGTTTTAATCTAGGAAGATACATTGGAGAAAATACTATTTCAAACCAGGGGCTCATCATTTTGTGTGCCACAAAATCCAGACAGAGGTAAAATATATACTCGGTTGTGACATCAGGACAAGGTCTGGGTTTCTTCTTTTTTTATATGGAATTCTGCTCAGCCATGAGTTCCCTGTTCTACTCTAAAATATATGATGACGCTTACATGTACATGTCAAAGTAATTCAAAATTGGGCCCTCAGTGCAAATTTGTCTATTTCTTGTTTTCTCTGAAGTCATCAGGTCTTTGTTATCTCTTAACAAATTTGGGGCTTAGGAAATATGTCTTCTCTTTGTGGTTGTTTTGTCCATCTTTAAATGTCCTCCTTTTAAAAGCTGTCTTTTCACAGGCAACATCTGTGCCTGATAAAACTACGTCATGTTATTATCTCAGAAGAAAGGCGTTACAGACACTCAAGATTGACAAAACAGAAAATGAGGAACTTTCAACATGTCTATTTCCAGTCATAATCAGAGGATTCAAGCCTATAAATATCTCACTGCAACTGCCCCAGAAGGGAACAATGTAGCAGAAAGAGGCAGGGAGAAGAAATTCTTGGCCTGGATGATTTGTAGATTTAGTATAAACAGAGTATCATCCCCAGTAGAGGATTTCAACATAAGCCTGAGTCAAAAATTTCCAACCCCCAATTCAAAGAATCTGAGTAGCTTTGATATTTCAGAAATGAAAACAAGTATACTTACTCTGTTTAAAACCTAAATAGGGTATTCGCTCTATTGGCGTCTTTCTTTCTTTCATGTATTTATAAAGTGCCACCAGGAAGGCCTGCTCGTCGGCCCTACACTCTTCACCAATGGCAACCTTTGGTTTTTCTTCATTGGAGACTTTTTTACAATTATTATGGTTATTCTTCGGTTTGTTCAAGGCTGACCTAGCCTCACATTTCACCTGGAAAAGGGGGAAAAAAAAAAAAGGCCACGTCAAATCCAGCACAGCTCTGGGATTCCTACAGGGAGATAGCTAGAGATATTGTCCACTGAGTGGGAAGTGTGTGTGTGTGGGGGGGGGGGGGGGAACCAGGAAACTATCCTGGCCCTGAAATAGCTCCTAGAGCATCACAGACCACGGGTGCTAAATTTCTGAGAAGGGCCGGAAACTGTGGTAGGCTTTGGGGGTACCAGAACCTTGGTCACAACTACTCAATGCTAGACATGAGAGCCATCACACATAATATGTAAACAAACGGATGAGGCTGTGTTCCAATAACATCTTATTTATAGAAACAGGTGGCCAGTGGGCCATGGTGTGCCAAACTATGCCAGCCTCTTTTAGACTCCTTACCAGCATGTTGATGTGAAACCAGAAACAGTGTTTACATCTGCTGGGACCACTCTCCTGTCTCTTTATACACTTTATTTTCCTAAGGGGTACCAGTGGTTACTGTCATCATGGAAGGAACCCTGCATTCTTACTAAGAGTCCCAGGTTCTGCACTTTGGATCAAGATGAAAGGCAAGTGCATTTCTTCATAGCAAACTGATCTTGTTGCAACTCTTCCCAGCAACCTGGAAAAACAGGCCAATGCTGGCTGATGTCGGGAGCACCAGCAAAGTCTCTGCCATCCGTCACCCGAGCATGATGCCCAGACACACCCTCAATAGGAAACCAGACACCCCACTCTTTAACGAGGGTGCCTAGCTTTTCAGTCAGCTCTGAAAATCTCGTAGATGTTAAGTGGCCACAAAGGAAAAAGTAGAGGTCAAGTAAAAACCCAGGAGAAGTAAGTGAAAAGCTTCAGAATTAAAAAATAAATGGTGGTAAATGGGCCACACGGAGCAGCTAACCCCACGTTCCCACCTCACTGCCATGTTCTACAAGAGGCCTTTGATGGTTGTTAAATAATACGCTAAGGTGCTGAACTGTTTTAACTGTCAAAGGGGGAAGTACAAAGGGTCAAGCTTCAAGTTCAAGTGTGCCCACGGGGAACGAGTAGGTTCCAATATTCTTTACATCTCCCGACCTAACATCGGCGAGGAGAGGACGGGTGCCTGGGAAATGTGGTGAATTAACATGTCCCACACAGTCGACAAGGTTTTCCATTTCAGATTCCTGACCCCTCTCTGTCTTTCCATTCAGATTCTCCTTTGCAAGCACTAAGAACATAAAAGGCTATGCTTATTTATTAAAGGGAAACATCTCCCCTACAAGGGTTTTCTTTATTGCTCATTCTCTCACATGAACACACGAGTTTAATATCTAGACGGGTCCTGAAAAAAATAAAGAAATAAAACTTCCTGCACAACTCATTCAACCAGGCCTCTAGATAAGATTCTCATTTTTAAAGAGCAGTGGAAATGGGATGAAAACATTTTCCCATGTAGGATTTCTATTTACAGTTATTTTCAAACTTTAGTACTTTGTAACATTAGATTAAGGCGAGCATCCTGGGAAACTTTATGTTGTCATCATTTTTCACTGCCAAATTTTAGATTGTTGAGTCTAAAGTTCTGATGAAATCTATAATTTAACAGCTCTTTGAAATCATAAAAATCACTCCAGTTCTAATCGGTATTGCTTCCTGGCTTTTTCTGAGTGCTTACTGTGTAGTCCGGCTCTATTATAAGCCCTTTTTTGGTGTTATCTCCTTTCATGCTCATGACCCTAACAGGGCAGGTTATTACCCTCCTATCAGAGATGGGGAAACTGAGGTACGAGAGGAAGAGTAACATGCCCAAGACCATAGGATCACGTCCAGCATTCAGGTTAGTAAGTAGTGAGTTAGGGATTTGAACCCTAGTAGTCTCAACCCACTCTGGTATTCTTGCCTGGAGAATCCCATGGACAGAGGAGCCTGGTGGGCTACAGTCCATGCGGTTGCAAAGAGTCAGACCCGACTGAAGTGACTCAGCACGGCACAGCATGGCAGTGTCACTCAAGGACTTGTGGTTTTAAACACTATCTTTTACTGGCTCTCATAAAAATATTAAATTGATAGTCAAGATGTTGTTATTGTTCAGTTGCTCAGTCATGTCTGACTCTTTGCAACCCCATGGACTGCAGCACACCAGTCTTCCCTGTCCTTCACTGTCTCCTAGAGTTTGTTCAAACTCATGTCTACTGAGTCGATGATGCCATCCAACCATCTCATCCTCTGTCGCCCTCTTCTCCTCCTGCCCTCAATCTTTCCCAGCATCAGGGTCTTTTCCAATGAGTCAAAACATACTTCCAATTAAAAAGTGTGTCTTATTACTAAGCATTACAAAACCTATAGCTTAGAAATATGATTTACCAAGTGAGAAGTAGAAGATAAAGCTAGGTGGTTTCCAGAGTGTAAAGGGCTCCATTCCTTCTGTTGTGTGTAGAGCAAAGGGAAGGAAATCAGTGTGAATGCAGCTGCCACAGTGAGCTGGGAACAGCGCTGTGGGCTTCATACAAGGATCCGAGTCCCATTTTACAGAGGAGGAAACTGAAGCTCAGCGAGGTGATGTATTTTGGCGTGTGGCTAGTGTCAGGTAGAACTTGGAGTCTAGAACTCAGATCTCCTCACTCGAAACCCTTTAAAAACAGCAGTTGACGTCAGCTTTGCATATAAAATCAGGCTGACTCTTAAGTCTGCAGTGATAATAGGCCACAAGTTAAGGGAGTATGCCTCTGCCATGCAGAAACAACCAGGAACAAAAGGAAGCTGCGGAGCACACGGAACCCAGCCCAAAACCACCAGAGCCCCTGACGGCAGCAAAGGCTCCTGGTGTAGCCTGGCTGCCGCCTTCTAAGTTGCACCTAAGCCTCAAGGAGCTCCTTCTTGGGCCTGGGGGGTTCCTAAGATACAAAGAGTAGTTTCTCCTCATAGACTAACTGCATGCATTTCTCAACATACATGAGCCCTCTAGAGGATAATTCTGTTTCTGGGTAGGACCAGGTCAAGTTCCTTTGTACAATTCTTCACACTTACTGGAAACCTTCTCAGCATTTTAAGCTACTGAAATGTTACATGGGAGCTAGTCTTCATGTTGACCTCAAGAAAGCCCAAGCTTTTGATGGTAACAGGTAATTACTATAGTCTGTTTTTCCTGACCTGAACGCCTTACACTTGTCGAGTTCACTAAGAGCTTTGGGGTTTCCAAAGTGATTGAGGAAGTGCTAATTAAAGGATCCACATTTAACATTTGCAGTGAACCACCACCTATTTGATATTAACCACATCCTTTCACTGGATTGAGTTGTAACTAATCCAGCCTTCAACCGAGGCAGCAGGATGTGCTGAACCAGCAGGAAAGGAACGAGAGTCTAATTTCTCTTTGGTCACTAACTTCCTCGGAAATCCTCATTTTCCTCCTCAGGAAAGCAAGAAGGATAATCCCAGGGGTAAGTTCTTAGGACCAAGTGGGATGAAAAATACTGAAAATAATGAAAGCATCACATTTGTGAAATAGTGAAAGTATGTTTGTGATTTCAATGAAAGAACATACTGCAGTTTCCCTTTCCAACGGTCCTTTTAGAATGTAAGCCACCTGTTGTGTACTTCTGGCCATTGCAAAGTGCTTACAGGATGTGAAAAGTCATTTGTCTTGTATCAGCGGAGGCCTTTCATTTGAGAGCCAGGCTAAGAAGACTTCTCTTATATAAGTCACCATGTGAATAAGTTTTTTGCCCCAGACCTGGATTTGGGTAGGACATGTTCTTGTCATCTTCAGAGAACTGGTAGCCTCTTCGCCATGAGGCTGTCATTGTAAAGCCATGACATTCTCTGTCCCCTGGAAAACAGAGTCTTGCAAAACTAGTTTCCACGGTCTCACTGAAAGAGGGCAAACTCTGGATGGCGACAGGCAAATTAACTTGACCTGCTTTTCCAGTCATGCAGACAACAAACTGAGTGGGTTCTTACTCTAAGAGCGCTTTGCTGCATGGAGCTGCAGAAAGCTGGTACTTATCCACAGTTAGAAGTGGTCTGTTTGAGGCACTTCTGAAAAAAAAACAGCCACACAGGTCTTGGTTAAAAAGCCCAACTGTCACCTGCAATGTTGCTTCCAGTTCAGCAAGTGATCAGATAGTCACAGGCTTGTAACCTCTCCTGTAGTATTTCCTGAGAAGAGACCACTCTAAGACACACAAGCCTTTTGCATGGTTGTCCTGGCCCCAGATGTGATGTGTTTATTCTGCAGGGACTTTGCATCCATTTGTCAGTGACAACAGAAGCCTGCCATACTTCATAGCTACCAGTCTCTCTCTGCTAGGTGAAGTGGTCTTTCCAGACCCAGTGGAAGCAGCCAAGGCAGGACTGTAATCCAAGACTCCCAAGAAGAGCAAGGCATTCAGACTGGTCCCTGGGAGCTGACGACAGAGTGACGTTCTTCCACTCACCACTGACATCTGTGATGGAAGGGTGACCCTCCTCCTTGTAAGGATGCTGAATGGCAGTGCTGGTGCAGAGCAGGTAGAAAGGATCACTTAGAAAACCCAGGCTAGACTACCATTCCTCCTAAGAAGGAGGTGAGCAGCAAATACAGTCTCCAGTTCTCTTCAGTTTTATGGGTCCCAGTATGAGTCCTGAGCTGCCTTCCAAGGAAGGAGAGGTACTGTTCCTTCAGGTCAATTGTTTGAGTTCTATAAAAGCCCCAGAGGCACACTGTGGTGGTGGCTGCAAATGACTCGAGAAGGAGCTTCATCCTGCTGGGCTCAGGTGCAGAACATGCTGGGATAAACACATGACATCACCTTAGAGGTATGGGGCAGGGCTCCAACAGGAGACGTTGTCAGTACAAGCTCTGCTGAGGGCTATGATCTCTCTCCGCTCCATCCTGCAGTATCTTGCAAGCCACATCATAGGGAATAAACTGTTCCTGCTGACATCCTTCAAGATCACAGAAGCCAAAGTCCTGGATAGGTAGTTGTAGGGCCAAGATGTCCAAATTACTAGAAAATGTCACCCTTGGTATCCACATGGACTCACTCGCAGAAGGTCAAAGGAATAGAACAAAAATAACTTTAGGCAAAAACAGATTTGTTTTTAGCCAGAAAATATACATTTCTACCATGTGATCTTTTTAACCCTTTGCAATTTTGAAAGTCCTCAGAACTTCCTGATGAAACAGTCATGCTTGAAGATAAGATACAGAATGTGAATGTCTGTGATTTGCTTCTTTACACTGGAAGAGAAGTGGAGGGCATGGCAGAAAAACAGTCGACTGCCAACATAGAACTGAAGTCATGGTTTTCCACATCAGGATCTTCTAGATTCACTAAAAATGCTCCCATTTTTATAAGTTTATTCCTTGGATCTGGAAATGTGGTGTCAGTTGAATTCTGGGCTTCAATTCAGGTCCTAAAGGGGCTATTGCTGTCTTTGGCACAGAAACAATACCTAAAGGCAAACACCCCGTAAACGGAATCATGGAAATACGATCCAGGCCCACAAAAGTAAAAAAGATAAGCCTAAAAATATGAAGTGACACTTCACCCTTCGCGGTGCTAAACTCTTCAGGCATGCACTTTCAAGATTCCTAAGAATGCTAAGGCAAAACGGCCCCAGGTCCTGAAAGAGAGTCTAGAATTTGGACTTCCATTCTGCATTACATATGATCTTTAAAACATATAAATCTGTATACAAGTATATGTATACATGTAAAGACTGGGCTACGTGTCTTTAATCCTAAGGTCAATTAGAGGTGATTTGGAAAAAAAAATAACTTGAAAAAAAGATTCATTCTAGCCATTTCTAATTCCATCCAGTTTTCATCTCTGAAGCATATTTAGATGAATACATTCAGAAAGAGGATGGTTCATCCAGTCTATTTTTGATACCAGCAGAGTAAACTATGTCATTGTGTCACCTACTATGAAATCTCAGCCTCAATGACGTGGGCGCTTAATCATCTGTCCTTTACCCAACCCGCCGAGCCGGGAGGTGGGAAGTCTTTCTGTTGACTAATCAAAATGCCTGCACTGCCCCCTCCCCCAGCTCCCCCCCAAACCCCCGCCGGGGGAGGGGGGTGGCGGGAACAGTCACAGCAGAGGGTTGTGAATACCAAAGTCAGATTCTGAATTGAAAACTGCCACCAAGACACAGGCGCAGAGAGAAAAAGGGAAAAATAAAAAGATGCAGCAAAAACGAATACCAACGAATACTGGGGAGCCAAATGACTGTACCTTGGCAACGGATTTGCCATCGGAATTGTTGTTGGGATCTTTACCACCACTGAAAGAGTCTCTTCTCTGTGGGCATGGCTTCTTTTTGCGTGGTCTGCCTTTAAGATTTGGCGCTGAAAACAAATGGAGAACAATTGAGAGGCATTTTCATTTGCGTGGGTTTTCTTATTAAAAACTGAGACACTCACTCGAGCGGCACCCTCTAATTGTTCTGAGAAATGTACACATCTGCGGTAGCCAAGCCTCCTTTCAGACGTCCCTCTCTGAAGGGCTGCGTAGCCTCTGCACTTCTGGACATGTTTCCCAAAGCTAGCCTGTTACACTGGAACATGTCTAATTAATGTAAATAAAATGAAGCCCTCGGCTTTAAAGAACGATGATAAGATAAGGATAACGCGCTTCCCTGTTGTTACACAAGAAATACACTGGGCTTGAGACAGCCCTGAGCCAGGCTCATTCTTTGTGTTTTGTTTTGTATCTTGTTTTCAGAAACCCAAGTGATATGCCAGCCCATTATGGCATCATAGTAATGTAACATTTGAAAACCTCTCTCTTCAAAAGTGGAAAGGTAAGCATTTTCTCAAAGTATGATACAAATAAGGGAGAGCTGTAGACAGAGGCATTCACAATAATCTGAAAAATATTACTAAATGTGTTAGTAATACTGTTAGTAAACAGTATTGCAAACAGCATGTTTCAGATCTCAGCGAATCTGGCAGGTACATTTAAGTCAGTATGCTCTTTTTCTTTTCTATATATATATATATAGAAAATGGAGATCTTGAGGGTTATTTAAAATAACTTCCAAAGAGCATACTGGAGTTAGCCTGATTCCGTGGAGATTATACTTTTTAAAAGCCACAGACAGGACACAAATCAAAGTTATATTTCATCTTGGATGCTGAGGTTGAATCCCTTTAAGATCCATAAAAGAAGGAGAAAAAAAAAAAAAAAGGCTGCTGTTTATTGAATGCTGCTATGACTCTCCGGCATCAGTTTTCACATTTAACTTCATCAGTTACCCAGTCAAGCAAAATTAAAACAAACCAACTAACCGACTAGCCCTTGAGGAATTTCAAACTAACCAGTTACACCCCCAAGCAATTTCTTTAGGCCCTTTCAAGGTACCACACTTTTTTTTTTTTATTGCTTTAAGGTATGATTATGGCCATGCGAAATCTGAACAACTCCAACCCTCTTAATTGTTGTTAATCTTACTTATGTCATGCAGTTAGCCAGTGGTTTTAGGACAGACACTACATGATACTCATCTTACAAACACAATTAATTCCACTAATTTGATTTTCTACTGTGGATAACAGTCTTGCTGTTGACAAAGCACAATAAATCAGAGTTGCCTTTCAAATTAAGCAAAAGTTTCAAAAGTGGTTTTGGGACTCAGACTCCCCGCTTCCCAAACCTGCTCTCCACAATGTCTGTCTGAAAGCCCATCTCAGAAAGCGACCCTGGCATTACCAAAGGGATACAAACTCACAAACAGAAAATCAAGCAAAGAGAAAGCAGCGATTACCCATTCCAGTCGGCAAACATCTGCTTGATGATGTCTGTGCTCATGAAAGCTACAGCATGTGACTGCTCCCCGGCCCCACGTCCCTGGAAGTCTCCACTCGACTTGGTGTGGATGTCAGCTTCCCTCCGAATGCGAGCTGCGAGGCTCAGCGCTCTGCTTACAACTCCCCTCCCCCGGCAGCTCCATTACTCATGTAAACACACAGCAGTGACTAGCACGGGGTGTGTGGGATGAGCTCCGAGGACTTGGCTGGAGTTGCCAGACTGGCAGGCAGGGCTCGCCTCTCTCCACCTCCCCGAATGGGGTGGGTGACTTCATCCAGCCTGTTTTGTGGCTCCTGACCTCCTGCTCCTGTCAGAGCCCGATGCCACCTTCCATGAACTGATGAGGTCCTCTGCCTGGAGCCAGGGTGGGGACTATTTTGATTTGAGGAATCTCAGTGTAGCACAGAAGTGTTTCCACAACTGACCCAAGTGCTAAGACTTTAATGACGGTGAAGGAAGGATGTACTTTCAAGTCCCTTATCAAAATAATAGCCCAGCAGAGAGCTGACAGAAACCGACAGAACTTGAGGTAGGTCTGGGGCATTTCATTAAAAGGAACAAAACAACACTGCCTCTGTTCTAAGACTTGTTACTATGATCTTTCCTTCCTAACAATTTTGGCAAAAAGCATTTAAACCTAAAAGGCATTTATTTCCAGAAAAGCTTTCAAATCCCAAAGGCCTTTTAGACAGAGAGAACTCACATTGAACAGGCTGTTTTAAATAAAGGCAGAGGTTCCGGGAACTGACAATAAGTCATCCCCAAATCGGGTCTATTTTCTCCATTCTTTGAGCTGCTCTTAGAACCCAGAGAGGCACATGCCCGTCCCCAGCAAATTCTGAGAATTACATATTTAGAACAGATTAGTACCTAATAGTCTGCTCACACAAACTGAAGCTCTAAGTAGAATCTGATCAAAAGAAAAGGACTTTTGTTCCTCAGAAGGCAAGTGCACTGATATTTCAGGTATGGTTAGGTAAATCCCACCAACCCCTTAAGTATCAAATTTGAATACCTCTGTTAGTCTCACCTCTGAGCTCCTTTTCTGACCTTCTCGTATGGAAGGTATCATTGTGTTATTTGTACTTTAGCTGGCTTATTCTTATACTGAGTTGGAGAGTCCTCAATGGCAGGACCATGTCCAATCCATTGCTCTCTGCCTCAGTACCCACCCGGGGGCAGTAATGCCTAATACATTGTTGAATAATCAGTGACTGCTGGATACAAAGATGCCCACATATATGCCCTTGGTGTCAAGAGCTAGGCCCCTCAACCTGATCGCGTGAATACCCATCACCCTGGGCACCTGTAAATGGCACTCACCTTTCCTGCTCACCTGTGGGTTCTGGGAGCAAACACTAGTGACAGGAATTTACACTGGGAGACGAGCTCTCCCACAGTGGGAGATGAGCCTTTGGTTCCTGCTTAGGGTAACTGTGTCTGACATCTCAGTGGGGCCGTGATTTTGTCCCACATGCAATGAGCAAATAAACTGAACACCAGATGTTAAAAGTACTGGGGGAAGCGTGCAGGACTCCATACGGGGTAAGAGCCTCCACGATACAATTAAGAGAGTTTTTAGATCCACAAGACCTGAGGTGAAGTTTGGGACTGCCGGGCTGGCTTTTGGGGACAGCAAATATTCTTGTCCCCAAATTACTTTTTTTTTTTTCCCCTACAGGGTCACAGAAACAAATTATTTGCTAAGTGGGTGAATGAAAATAATGCTTTATAGCATGGTGGCGGTCATGGACGGGCTTGCTCTGGACTTTGACTTTTTTATAAAAGAAACAGCCCACCTCTTCTCAGCTGCCCTGGACCAACCTACACCTGCCCTCTGCTCGACAGCTAAGGGCCACAGACTTACTGAGAGAACCCAAATCCTATAACTCCAGAATCACACCAGCTCCAGCTGCTTTAGAGGAGGCCAGTCTCTACTAAGAAAACGATTCTTGGAAGCTAGCAATACATGTACTGACAGCATAGCTGGTTCTAGTCAGTTTTACTTTAAAAAATACAGAGCATGAAGCAATAAATGCACAGCTACTTTGACATGTGTATAGTATACACCCACAGGCCAACCCTGGCCTGGCTCATTCATAGAGTTCAATCAGTGCTCTTTACATGAATGTTTTCAATATTATCCACAAATATTATTAATAATAGTAATAATTGATGCTTACAGAGCACTTTTTTTTTGCTAGTCAGAGCTTTGCATACAACAACTCATTTAAAACTCAAAACAAGCCCACAGTAAGGCACAATTATTATTATCCCCATTTTACAGACCAGGTAACTGAGATAGAAATTATTTTGTCTTAGGTCATACCACTAGTTACTGGTAGTGGAAAGCTTCCCACCCAGGCAACTGACTTTATCCAGAGCCCCTGCTTTCAGGAGCTTCCTTAACACACACACACTTGCTGTGTCTTATAACGACGTGTTTACATTCTTAACGGGCTGGCAGACTCCAGGGAGCTACCCCCAAATGAAAACACTCTCAAATAGCACATAGCAGAGGGCGCTAGAGCCCATCTCAGGCACCAGACAGCACCCTACAGCTCTGCTGCTGGGCACAGGGTCCCCATCCTGAGTAGCAGGTGATGAGACTTGCACCAAAGTCGCAGAGTTCCAACGAAGCTTAAGAGCACCAAGGACATTACCCCCTTGCAGTGTAACATCGACGGACTCTTCTGCCTGATCAGTGAATGATGTCTATGGTTTTTTTAAAAAAAGTATCTTCTCTCTCTGACTGCCCATCTGTTCCTCTTACTCAGTGCCGTGAAATTAACAAGTATTCACCATTGTGAAGTCACCACTATTTCTATAGGTGTTAATCCCAGGAGAAATCGGCTACTGCTAGTGTTCCAGGCTACTCTGACATTTAAGCCATGTGTTTTGTTTATTGCCTTTTTTAAAAAACTCCTTCAACTATTAATGAATCAGTTTTGTTTTTTTTTTTTACAGTAGAGCAAAACATGCTTTTCTTTTTTCCCTTTAAGACTCTAGAAGCTCAGAGTTGCAGGCACTCATTTATGTATTTACTTCACTGTGGGTTCTGACAAGTTATGTGTCAGGCAGTACAGGTGTGGGAAACTTTCATATTGCAATAATAATAATAAAACAAAGGAAATGTAACCAGTTACTGGCAAAGTAAATTGCTTTTGGCTTAAACGTTTCTGTTTTTTTTCCTACTGTGTTCTTCCTGTCATGACCGTCTCTTTTTTTATAACATTTATGCTCTTGGAAATACCACGAAGATAAACTGCTATAAAAGCTGGATTGACTCATCAGTTAACAACTCTTTCTTCTCGTTTTGCAGAGAGGATTTTGTTGCCAACGGAGCAACATAGTCTCTCGAGAAATTCTCTGTGAGCTTCCACTCAGAGATAGGACTTGCTCGTTGGTAGGGACTGGAATTAGGGGAATGGAAAACCAGGCATCATTTTCCTAAGAGTTTGACCCCCAGGGGCAATGTCTAGAGGAAGCTGGCAGAGCATAAACTCATTTGATTTGCAAGTTGTGTGTGTGTGTGTTT